GGAAGGGGGTGGAAGGGGGTAAGCAAAATTTCCACCCTATCGCATATATGTGCTACATTACGGAGTTGAATCACCCCTTTCAAATGAATGAGTCATGTAAAGTGTTGAAAGCTAAGATAAGTTTAATAGCAATATTTCAAAAAGATAAATTGAGGACTTTTGCATGCTGAAGTGGGAGAGACCATGAAATTGAAAAAAGAAACGTCGTAAGTTTGAATTAGGACTAAACCGTACTTACTTCGTCGCTCTCAACTTCCTCGCTGCTGTCAGCATCATCCGTACTTGTATCGCTCTCTTCAATATCCGAATCTACTTTAATCACATCCACATCTACTTTCTCAGCATCATTGCTGCTCAATTCCTGGTTTGCTGTAGCGATTTGCGGTAAGAAAGATCGCAGCCTGGAAGATTCTTATCAATAAGGAACACAGGAAGACAGTTTACAATAAGACAATAGTAACGGAGTTATTGTCATTTTTTCTATTCTCTTTCTATTGATGCTCATTTCCGCCAATGACTCTAAAGTGCAGCTGAAGAGACTCTGTGCAGCTACTGCAAAGGCAAATGGTAAGCAAAATCGAGATGTCAGGGTGATAGGCCGATAGGAGACAGTTTCTTGCTTTCTGTCTGATTCCATACTAGTAAGTAGTATGGAATCAGACAGAAAGCAAGAAACTTTAGAAATGATTGGCGGTGGAGGTGAAGGAGAGGGAGGGAAGAGGAGGAGGAGGGGTGGGGGGACGTCATGAGACGCTCGCTTTTCTACGACTTTCTCTCTTATTAGCCATCTATCTCACCGATTAGCGCATAGTCAGGCCATGCTTATTGAAAAGCATCACAGAAGCTGGATACCATCTACTTGGAATGGTTTAGAAAAGTAAGAAAAAGTACGAAATCATCCGTAACAATATCGCAACTCTTATCTTATGAATAATATATTAACATAGTTTTAATACTGATTATTAATATTATATAATGAATAACAATAAATTATATTACCTTCCCAAAATTCCTGAGGGCTGAATGGATTCGATGGCAGGCTTTTTTGGTTTCTTTCCCGAATTTAGAAGTAGTATCGAACCTGGAAAAAAGTACTCCTTGTGATATTACGATATATTGAAATTAAACTTCAAAAAGAGGAAAGTGTGTTCCAGCTATTTTGAGATTGATTTGGCGACTAAGCAGGCGCAGGCGAATTCAAAACAACATTTTCCATAAAGCTCACGGTTCGATAATTCAAACAGTAACTTTAAGCAGGTTATGAAAAAAAGTGATCGAATTAGGTTTGTCTCGCAAAAATTGTACGATGCTTCTCGTAAATCAAACCACGTCGGCTAAGAACAAGTTGTTGAGAAAGTACATCTTGCTCATGAGCTTTGCAGTTGAATTGATGAATGGGCGAAATTTGCTAATGATGAATTTTCTGCAGTTAGAAACTGAGTTCTACTATTGAGCAGCCTTATACTTCAGTACCGCGTTTACGATCTTCGACTTCCCATCCACAACAAAAACATTCTTCGTGCAATATATTGCAATTTCCCATCTTATACATAATCTTTTCAAGGAACGGGTGTCCGAATGTCGATAAAATGTAGTAGTTATTGAGGTCGCATACATTATTTTTCAACTCCTTATGTAAGCGACACTATCAATGCTGTTCCGAACACGAAAGGGAGGATCTGATGCCGTTTGGGAACTCAAAAGTTAAAACTTAAAACTTTCAGGCTTGCAGTTGAGGTAGTTGTTTCCGAAAAACTCAATTCCTATCACACATACTTCCTTCTACAAGTTTGGCTGTATTATCCGCAGCAACGCTGGAAAAGTACATGGCGAAGTGCTCCGGCAAGGTGATCTTTGAGCAACCTTCGCAAGTGATTCATGTCTTCTTTTCCCGTCCATGGTCACTCATGAGCGACTATTGCTAATGTAAAAATGAATGCACCCAACAGAAGCACTATCAAAAATACCACTATTCATAGACAGAACATGTTCTAAAGAAATACCAAAGAAAGAGAAAAATCATGAGAAAGGGGATAAAAACCTAAAGTTTAATCAATTGGTATGAATGTTTGCAGTTGGCGCTGTTAATATTCCAGGCATTTGGGAAACTGATTTCAACCTTACTGAGTCAAAGAAGGAGAACCTTTCGTCTCATCCCCTACAAAACCTTGGAGTTTCTGAGAAATTCTCCTACTCCACTTTTAAATTCCGAAACATCTCAGGATCAACGCACCTCCCGCTACTAGGCAGTTTTCCACAAGTTGGATATAGTTTATCTTTTTCTCTTTTTGCGAGGCCATCTATTACATTTTGTTAAGAGGCAAAATGGATTACCGCTTTCGCCTGTGACATTCTTCAAGGTGACAGTGTCGTGACTTGGCTG